GACTACCCTTACCTTCTTCAATCGCAAATATCTCGACTTCTGTTCAAGCTAATTGGATATTTTTCCATTGAAAGCAAGGCAAATGAATAAACTTTCAGGTGATATCAATAATTCCACATCCTCAAAAATTGACGAGTGCCTGATTCCACCACGTCGTGCCACATATAAAATTATGCAGGTCTATAAACGTATTATTATATGGATATTATATAGAAATGTTATTAGCAATTGTCATATATCTCAATTTACCCACCAGATGTGAAAGTTACTCTCTACGGCAACAACGCACAGGGAAAAGATAACCCGACGTGGACACAAATAAAATGTCCTCTATATAATGAAATCCTAACAAAAACAAGACAAACGCAAACACAAGAAAAGAATTTAATCATAAGACACGCCCATATATTATATTAACCAAGGCAATGTTCGAATTGGCGATAGGCTTTTGTCTTACTGACTGGCATACTTCTGATTCGTCTTAGGAAATTGTATTTGACAAAAATAAAACCATCAATTAATTATAAAGTGCATGAAGAAATGAAGGAAGGTAAACATTAATAATAATAATAATAATAATTACAACAAAAACGGCAGCAGCAACAGAAACAACGATATCAACAACAAAATCATTGACAAAAATGGCAACAACAGAGAGAACAACAGCAAAAGCAATAAAACAACAGCATGAACAACAACAACAAACAAACCCCAACAAATAAAAAAATAAAAAAAAAAAAAACGAACTGCAAGACAAACTTATAAAAAAAAACCAACAACAATACAACCCACCTCCATTTCCCAGGTCATTCCAGTTCTGAGGTTTCAGTTGTGTCCCCTTGATATCCACAAAGGCAAAGATGATGTGAGTGCACAAGTTGGGGTCAATGTCCGAGGGCTGAAACCTTCCGTAACCTGGCCGGTATTGAGCTTCGCTTCCATAGTAACAGAACATCTTCTTTTGTGTGCTCTGTCTGGGCTGTGTCAGGCCCTGGACTGATGGCGTCACAAGTGCCAAAGCGATGAAGCTCAGGAGGAGCAGGAGTCGGCACAGTGCTGGCATCTAGCGGTGAACAATGTGCAGGAGATTTAAGACATGGGGAGGGGGGTGTATAGAAAGCAGGAGGTGGCTGGGTGACAGACAGACAGACAAACAGACAAACAGACAGGCAGGCAGGCAAGCAGGCAGACAAACAGACAGACACACAGAGTGGCAGGCAGGCAG